TTAGATGTTTTAACTTATTTGTTTTGCTAAGTGTTTTTCTAGTTTTGGAGTTAGCTTTCCATACTTAGAGTGTTCTTCATTTTATGTTATTTAATTAAACTTCAAAACCAAGACTATAGAGTGTCAATTAGATGAGTTGGTCTTGTTTTGAGATAATACACACTTAAGGTACAATTTTCTCGTTGTGTAAATTGAACCTGTTAGTTTAAAATAAATTTCCATGGTTCGACCGTGTTTGGTTGTTCAAAACTAAAAGGGTAAGTTTTGGTTTTTGTATACATTTTGTGTCTACATTTGGGGAAGTGATACTGTTAGGGTTTATGTGTTGAGAGAGGCCTATAATTGTATACAAGGTTCAAACACTTGATCAAATGTCATGGCTTCATGATGAAAAAGGAAAGTAAATAAAATTTAATTTATTTGGTATTCTTAAATATGTGATTATTTTGACAATGTGTCTGGACGCATTTTTATATCTACAAATGGTCTTTCTACTATAATATCATGCATTATCAATCATTACTTTGTTGAACCCAGTCCTAATTAGAAGAAATTTCGTATTGACCTTCAAGATAAATGATTTGGAGAGTGTAAGGTAATTTCTATAATAGTTACATTACCATTATATTTTCCTATTATGTTTCCTAACTAATTTTTCATCAAGAATGTATAGTGGGATATGGAGCAAGAGCAAGTCACAAGATTCATTTTTGATGCAAAAGGCATATGTATTTCCAAAAATATAATGAAAAAAAATAGGATTAGTTAGGACAAAGGGACTTGGATTCTACCAAATATTCGAAAAACCTTGGACCTACATTGGAGAGTTCTATAGATTTCTAGAACAAGAGTGTCACTACCAAGGAAAATCGAGCTATTGAGAAGATAACTTTAACACATATTGTGGTGATTCCATATTTATTGCAGTTCACTTTGAGAAAATGGTAATCTTATTATATTTTTATATTTTCTATATTTTTAAGTCAAATTCAATATATTAGACTTGGGTGTTCAGTTTTATCTTGTATATGTAGACTATGGAGCTAGAACGATCACCAACTGCTTGAGAGGTTTTAGAGAGAACAAAGAAATTAAAGACTAGAGAATGAGTCAATCATAATACCCATGATCTTGGGGTGTGTTTAAACTTTAAGTCATAATTTAATATTCGTTACATGTTTTCTTCACAACAATCACATTTGAATTCATTTTTAGGAGAAATATAACCAATGCCGAGAACAAGCCCAACAACATCAAATACTTGAAGGATATTCTTCACAAAAACTCTCCTAATTACCTCCATTGATGACAATGAAAAATACTTTGTTGTTGTTGAAGGTGGAAATAAAGGGAATGAATGTGAATGAACTTGTGTGTTGAGTAAAAAGTTTACTTCTTATACATGTGGTCACTTTAGTACCATCCAAGCTCTAGTGGTTCATGAAATAGAAAATATGTGTGAAACTATTAAAAAATTAAACGGTGAACCAAAAGCTAAGGACAAGATATTTCAAGAAAAGATGACGCAATTGATGCAAGATCATGATCAACAGAAAAAACACATACACCGACAAGAAGAGCATATGAAACTTAGTTTATAACACATCCAATTGAAGAATCTTATGCGAGGCCCTTATATTCCTCATAGCAATGGAGATGATGTAGTATACCATTCTACTTATGGTAGTCCACATGAACATTAATTAAGTTTAATTGTATCATGACGTTAAAACTTGCATGTCTAGAACTAATTTTATTTTGGTTTTCATGTTGGACCATGTATTACACTACTTTTTACTACATTATATTATATATTGAGTTTATTGTTATTTAGTATAATTAAATATGTAGTATTTATAAGTAGGTTAGAAAATTGAATATAAGTGTTTAGATATCAATAAATATTTTAATTAAATTAAAAATCATATTTATTTGTGACCGAATTAGAAACCGAAAACCATTTTATTAAATTAAAATTTGTTCTTATTATTGATCACATTAGTGACTTAAATTTGGGTTGCTAAATTGGTCTCCAATACTTGAAGATGATTAATTTTTTAGTGATCAATTAGCGATTATAATTGTAGTGACTATTTAGTGACAGATTTAGAAATTAGTAGTTGATTGTTTTGTGATTAGAGTTTTCGTTGTCATTTATGTGGTTAATTCGATGATCAATAATATTTGCGACTGATTTTATCTTTTTAGCGACTAAATTTATAAAAATATTACAAAATATATTTTTTCTATTTATCAATTTTTATAATTCAATGTAGAACTTGATGTAGCAATGTACCTGTGAACTAATGAGTAGGCAAAGTGAAATATTATAATTTCTCAAATAATTTCTTTTCATAATAAAAAATACACTAAAATGAAATATATACAACAAATTAATAAATTATATTTTATTAATATAATAGAGCATTGATTACACTGAAACAAAGATAACTGTTCTACGTAACCACCACATGGTAGTAAATATTTTACCTATAGGCTGCAAGAACAACAACAAACAATTCTCAATTTATTAACATTTGAAGAAAAATGAAAAATTAAATTTAACAAACTTATGATTGAGTACTTCAGAGTTTACCAAGTGAATGTGAAAATTCATTATGTACGAACATCGTCATTAAAAGTTAGAATTAAAAAAAAAAAACATGTTCTTGCATAATGCAAGGACGGAAAAGGACCCACCAATTCAGTTTGAACACTGTATTGTAATTTTGTGAGCAGCACGTTTATATAGAACACATCAACAAACACATGCGCAGGATAAAAACATTACATTCGCACGGAATTTTCAAAAGAAGACTTGGTTTTAGACCAAATTCCTTTGTAGCAAAATTGTCTAACTTGAGCAAGTAAGACTGTATTCATTACAAAGAAGTTTGTTTTACTAGTTGATCTGAAGTATAATAATATTAATAAATAATCGATTAATAGTTATTATTATTATTATTATAAAAAAATTGTGAAAAGATAATTTATTCCTTTGGAGAGAAAAACATAAATAGGGTTGATTTTGTTTTGTTTTGGCAGCATTGGTGAAGAAGAGAATTAAGAGCGAAGAAAGTGGGTGCAATTCTGGTATGAATATGAATGTGTCTGTTGGAAATGCCGAAAAGCATGAAATTGTGGTCGTTGAATCAAGTCAGCAACTTCGGCAGCTATGTCTTAAATGGCGGAAACAACATTTAAACTTAGGAAGGTAGTAGGACATGCAATCAATCACCATTTCCCAACACCCATGTGTCTCAGCAAGATTAATTACAACTTACCTTTTTCATCTTCTTTAAGATTTTTTATATCACCTTTTCCAATTTTTTTTCTTAAAATAATCTCAATCTCTTACTATATACATTCTTTATTGAGATAAAGGAGAGAACTGCATTTAAAACAAGGTATTTCTTCCACAAGAGAGAGGTGAAAATTTAAGTAAGTTTATATATTTTTAAAAAGTTCCAATTGCTAATATTTTGGGACAGGAATGTTATGTACTGAAATTAATTTTAGGTAATAAGTATAATGTATTTCGTTTAAACTTTATTAATGATTGAGGTAATTGAAAATGTGTTTGGTCTTTAATTGGTATCATATGTGTTTATTAAAAGCAAAATTAACATTAATATGTAACTATTTTTTCAAAATTAATTGCATTAATATTATTTTTGCTATAATGAATACAGGTGAGATTTACTAAAATAACAAGCACATGTAATTTCTTTAACCCTTACAAAAATTTAAATAAAATAAAATTTAATACTTATTTACTTAACACTATTTATCCATTATTCTTTACAAGAAAAATGAAAAACAACTTACACATCTTCTTAGATTTCTAGACTTTATTGACTTTTGTAATAATTATGTTGAAGTAATATACTTAGAGTAGTATTCTTTTTTGATGTTTGGACAATACTTAAACGCAAAATAACATTATCTTAAAATATTAGTGTCAATGGGAAGGAAAAGAAATTTCAAATACTTTTAAGAAAATGAAAAAATTATTTTAAAGAATGAATCTCATTTCTTTAAATTAGGAGAAAGTAAAAGTGATTTTAAATATGAATATTCATTTTTTTTTTTAGATTTTGAATCAGAAAGTATGAGATGTCTAATAATTTTACATCATTTAAGAATTGAAACCAATAACAATTAAATGTATTTTTTTCCTAAAACATTCGAAGCATTTGAGATATTTTTTAAGAATAAATTTATTAATAAATTTGTTAGTAGTGTTATTTGAATGAAGTTAAGGTCAAAATATTCTTTTTACATAAATTTTAATTTTTTTATCACATAAAATGATCGAATAATAGGAGCATGATATATTTTTTTTCCAGTAAAACTTTTATTTCTGAAGTTGAATTCTCAGTTTTTTTCTGAAAGGAAGAATTATTAAGGACAAGCTATTTTTCCTAATAATGTTATGTTTCCCAGCTGCAGATAGAATTTCTGATTTGCTGATGATGTGAAAAATTTAAGCAAGAGGTAGCATAAAAACGAATCTCTACATTATACCTAAATAGTAATTACTTTGGTCTCTAAGATTATAAAATAAAAGGAATCTCCTTTAGTCAAGAATTAGTCAAAGTAGGCGACACAAAATGTGAGTTTGGAAGATGAATTTCCTTGGCGTGCCCAAAATTTCAATCCACAGTCCCTCTCTTGTCCCATACAAGCCATGTTACAAGTCTCCTCTAGAACCAGAAATAAATTATCAAATTAAAGACTAAAATGATATGTGTTTGACCATTTTAAGAACTAAAATGGCATCTTTAGAAATTTTAGTCACTAAAATTTATTGGTATTCATAAATCTGGTAAAGTAATTTGTCTCCTTTAAGGCATTCCAATCTAATGTGAAATCAACAATCCTTTCACACCTTCCATACTTTTCTCATCTCATAAATCACCCTTCTTCCTCACTCTTCCTTTTCAATCACCATCTTCTCCACCTCTTTTCTTCTAAATAACACTTTCAAACAGTTCTTATGGCCAAACCAACTCATGCAAAACCAGGTTGTTTTTCTGACTTCTTTCACCTTCTCTTTTGTGCTGAGAATGGAAACACCTCTCAAATGCACCCTTATTCTGACCCCATTACCAAACCACATGCATCAGAACCACTGCATGCTCATAATAATGATGCAATGGTCAATGCAACTAAACCAGGAGTTGTGGCAAGGCTAATGGGGCTTGATTCACTGCCAAGTACCAAATTCGTATCAAACACAGACACCCCAGATTCAGTTCCCAGAAGTAGGTCAGTCAACTTTGTGGATTACTTGCTCAAGTTCGACACCAGCCAAGCCAACCATCACCAAGTGAAAACCTCAGCATCATTCAGAGAGGTTCCTGCACCGTTTCAGCACAAAAGCAAAAGCCACGATCTTGTCGTGTTCTACTGGGATAGTGGGAGTGAAGATCATGAAGTTGGATCCTTTTCGAGGATTCAAGAAATGGGGTTGGAAGAATCTAGACAGAGAAAGAAGCAGGGAAGCAAGAACAAGGAGATTGTTGGTGTCACAGAAGAGAGGAACCTCACAAAGAGAAGGCAACTTTCCAAGTTCGAGAATGAGCCTAGGGTGGTTCCTCTTAAGCATGGTTCAAAGGTTCGAAATCACAATGAAGATAAAGCTTTGGCACCAGTTTCTGCATGCTCTAGGAGTTGTGGTAATGGAAGAAAAGATGGTAGTGGTGGTGGTCCTAGTGGGTTAAGAACAACCTCAACATTGCCAAATAAGCAGAAGAAAGTGCCCTCTGAAGCAAAACGTTTGAAGAATACCAGAAAACAACACGAGATAGAGAGTGAATGTAGCTCAGAGAATTTCAGTGCAATCTCAGTCCTAGGCGACTATGACTACTCATTTCTTTATGGACCTGATTTTCCAGGTTTGTCTCTGAATTCTTTGTTTTTTCATAATGAAGATAGGATGCTTTTAAGGGATAATAAGAGGAAAATTTTACTCTAATGAACAATGAATCGGGAAAAGACTTGTATAAAAGATGAAGACACGATTTTCAACAAAAATAATAACTTATCTTAAATTTCTAAGTATAATAATTCACTTTAGCAAAGTGTGGCCTTGGTAAGAAGAAAGAAAAAAAGTGTCTGGTATTAGAATTTAGTTCCCCACAAAGCAGCTTTAGGATTGATGTTAGGATATATAGACATTTTAATGATGTATATACATTTATTATTGTAGATTACAGAAGGCACTTAAAGCCAAAGACAAAGTGGGAATTTTCAGAACTTTTATTGGATGATGATGTTGGAGACAGAGCAAGCAAGGACAAAGAATGTTCCTACCCTGACATCAACCAGAAAAAAGAGTGTTTATCAGAATTAAGGGAGAAGCTTTGCAAGTTTACAGAAAATGATTTCAGAGAATCAGATTTCACAAGAAAACGCGTGTGTGAGGGTGAAAATTATGACGAAATTTGTTTGGAGTATGAGCATAAAATTTTTGACATTTTACTACACCAGCTTGTCAATGAACTTGTGGAACTTTCATTTTGAGAATTTTGTTATGTTAATGGGTAGAGAGTATAACTAAAACTTTGAAAAATGCTAACAGGAGCAAACTAACATTTTTTAATGTTATTAAATAGCAAATGTCAAGACCAGAAAAAACAATAAAAGGTTTTGGTATTTTTTCAATGTTAAATAAAACTCGAAATACAGAAAATTAATATTAATAAAGTTGATTAAGAAGTTGGGATTAGTGTTCACGCAATTTTTTCTCGGAAATTGTTCCGAAGTCTGATTGTGTGTGATTCATTATATTTAAAGTATTATCGCATATAGTAATTTTATGATTATACATGCGGTTTACCGTATAGAGGTTAAATTGTAGTTGAGAAAAATATATTTACGTAATCTAAGTTTTAAGGTTAAAGATATTTGAATAATTTTTTTATTATTTTTATTTTAAATTAAAAATAAAAATTATTAAAGGTGTTTAAAGTATGTTTTTTTTATGAATAGAGATTTTTTTGTTAACTAAAATTTGTTACACTTTAAAAAATTACATAAGTTAATCAATCTCACACACATATAAATATATATAATAAATTATTAAAATATGTTAAAATTATTATATTTTATTAGTTAATTTTATAGTGATTTAATTAATTAATTGTAGTTAAAAACATATATCAAGAAAAGATTATTGTGTAAAAATCATAAATAATATTTTAATTTGTTGAGGATCAAATTAAAATATTAAAACTTAAAAAAAATATTTGATAGATATTATAAAAGGGGTCATAGTCTTCGTATGTGAAAATCAAGAGAACCTAAGATGTTTTAGGGAATAAAGATCATAAACCCATCTGTATGGTTCCTAATGTCTAATATTTTATATACGCTTCCGTTTTCTGTTATAAAAAAAATTGAAAATTGCTCTATTTCATCAATTATTGATCAATGATTCATAACATAACGTTTTCTGTTATAAAAAAAATTGAAAATTGCTCTATTTCATCAATTATTGATCAATGATTCATAACATAACATTTAACTTTTCATTACGACGATTTTGTTTTTAAAAGATCTTTCAAAAGATAAAAAAAAAATATTTACACCAAGCTTAACCTTAGTTCCAACGATGTAAGACTATAAGATGTACCTGAACAAAAATCATAAAAAAAAAGATTATCGTAGTCCTGTTTTTCTTCGTCTTCATTATTTATTTAGATCCTAATTCTCTAATAAAATAAATATTTAACTATTTTTTACAAGTAGGCTTAATTGAATTTTAAGTTTCTTCTAAATTTAAATATTTTTAATTTAGTATTTATTAATGTTTTTTATGTATTGAGTATTTAAAAGGTTAAACCACTTCTGCCGTTTTTATTTATGTGGTTTTTTTTCAGTTAGATCCTCATATTATTGGTTTCTCCAATTTAGTCCTTAAAAGTGAAAAATTGACTCAATTGGGTCTTTGCCGTTAAATTGGGTTAACGAGATTAAGTTTTTGATGACCTGACACCTTGACGTGGTAAGTTTTTAATATGTGGCATTAGCAGAAGTTTATACTTGGAATTTCATAACATTATACATTTTAGAAATAGGGATTTCTAAAATGGGAATTCGGGTTCATTTCCAGTCTTCTCAAATGTATAAGATTGGATTTCTGCAATTTCCGCAAGCCTCACATCAGTTGCCTTCTTCCCTTCCAAACATCGCGATAGGTACCCATCATCTTCGATAACTAGATCCTCATCCACCGAGGCCATTTCATCATCACAGTAATCAAATCCCTCAGTTAGATCCTCAGACTTGTAAATTTCAGCTTTGTAGATACTGCTTATAAGCATGAGCCACCACTTAGATACACAGGAACAATAGCTCCTCTCTTTGCCACAAGAGAGCCGTATGAAAATCTCAAAAACACATTCATTAGGAAGAACTTCAATCGTAGGCTTTTGATCTTTCCTGAGCCATGAAGTTTCAAAAATATCTAGGGCGTTGATGCGAGCTCATTTTTTAGGACTGTAGTGGTATGCATCCACACTTGAACCCAAAGTACACATGCGATCCAAATCAATGACATTTTTTTTGATAAAAGGAAGCTCCATAATAGAGTTCATCATCACCTGTAAAACACATGAAAACAACCCATCAAAAACACTACTTCCAAGAGCCAAAGAAACATTATTTATCTTACATTCAACCATCTCCGTCGCCGCCATGGCTCAGAGAACATCATGACCCTGTTCTTGTTTAGAACGTGAGTGAACCCTAATTTTGCAAGAACATCATACAATAAACCTCGCTAAAACTCATTTCAATCTCCTCTCTTTGCCACAAGAGAGCTGTCTGAAAATCTCAAAAACACATTCATTAGGAAGAACTTTAATCGTAGGCTTTTGATCTTTCCTGAGCCATGGAGTTTCAAAAATATCTGGGGCATTGATGTGAGCTCATTTCTTAGGACTGTAGTGGTACGTATCCACACTTGAACCCAAAGTACACATGCGATCCAAATCAATGACATTTTTTTGATAAAAGGAAGCTCCATAATAGAGTTCATCATCACCTGTAAAACACATGAAAACAACCCATCAAAAACACTACTTCCAAGAGCCAAAGAAACATTATTTATCTTACATTCAACCATCTCCGTCGCCGCCATGGCTCAGAGAACATCATGACCCTGTTCTTGTTTAGAACGTGAGTGAACCCTAATTTTGCAAGAACATCATACAATAAACCTCGCTAAAACTCATTTCAATCTCCTCTCTTTGCCACAAGAGAGCTGTCTGAAAATCTCAAAAACACATTCATTAGGAAGAACTTTAATCGTAGGCTTTTGATCTTTCCTGAGCCATGGAGTTTCAAAAATATCTGGGGCATTGATGTGAGCTCATTTCTTAGGACTGTAGTGGTACGTATCCACACTTGAACCCAAAGTACACATGCGATCCAAATCAATGACATTTTTTTGATAAAAGGAAGCTCCATAATAGAGTTCATCATCACCTGTAAAACACAAAAACACATGAAAACAACCCATCAAAAACACTACTTCCAAGAGCCAAAGAAACATTATTTATCTTACATTCAACCATCTCCATCGACGCCATGGTCCAAAGAACATCATGACCTTGTTCTTATTCAGAACGTGAATGAACCCTAATTTCGCGAGAACTTCATACAATAAACCTCGCTAAAACTCATTTCAATCTCCAACCCTATCAATCCTAAATTTGTTGTGTCTTCAATCTCGAATAAGAAGACTCTCTTCCCAATTTGATTTTTATCAACTCTAAATCCCTAATTCCTCATCTTTAGATTTAACCTTAATTCTTATTTCAGAAATCCATATTTTTAAAATGTAAAATGTTATGAAATTCCACATATAAACTTATGTTAATGCCACTTATTAAAAACTTATCACGTCAAGGTGTCAGGTCATAAAAAACTTAACCCCATTAACCCAATTTAACGGCAGAAACCCAATTGAGTCAATTTTTTATTTTTAAGGACTAAATTGGAAAAACTGATAATACGATGATCTAATTGAAAAAAAAGCCACATAAATAGGAACTACAAAATTGGTTTAACCGTATTTAAAATATTTACATTTTTTAATTAAGTTCTTATCGTTTAATTTCTTTCACAGTAAAATAAATATTATTTTATCTTATCATCTTACTTACTTAGTCTTCATATATTAAGAAAAACATGAAATTATGTAGTTAACATAAAATAATATTAAGATTTGTAACTTGTATTACTTTCGTTAAAAACGTGTTAATATCAAAATCACATACTTCTGCAATGACTATAAATACTAAAAAATTGTCTTTATCGTCACAATTAACTTGAGCGTCCTTGTTATCCAAAAGTTTTAACAATAAAAATACTGTCATTTTATATTTATCATATAAAATAAATAAGATAATAAACAAGATAATAATTAGATCACTCAATTAATTAAAAAATTAAACGACAAACATTCAATTGAAATATATAAAAATTTTAAATACTAAATTAAATATTTAAATTTATGAGAAAGTTGAAACTTAATTAAACTTATATTTTTCACATTCGGAAAGCTAACCACATTTGTAAAACTTTTTTGTAAAATATTATAGTTATTTTAGAGTTTTGGCGACAATTTCATGTGTTAAATTAATTTGACTTGAGAAATACTCCCGTGAAAGCTATTTGAATATATGAAGTTGGAAACTTTTTCAGTGATGAGCAGACACAGGCCAAGCAAGAGCAAAGACAAAGAGAAGGAATAAATATTTTCCTTTTTATTTCTTCCCATTATTAATTTTATGCTCTGCTCTTAGCTCATTTTGTTTGGTGTTTTTTGGTCTATTCCAAGACATAAATGTCACAGAATTTTTTTTTCTTTGGTGAAAAATGACATGAACATCATTATACACCTCAAGTTCTCATCAGATTTTGTCCCTAACTCAGGCAAATAGTCGTAGTTATGGCCCATATTATTTCAGAGGATAAGCCCAATTCTTCCTCACTCTGTTCAATTTTTTAACTACATATTCATTTTGGAATTGACTTTCCAGAATATAAAAAACATATTTCAAAAATTCCATTCCAGAATAAATGGAAAATAACCACACACCAAAATTAGGACAGGTTTTTTTCTGAACTTATCAAATTTCTTCTCACCAGAAAATTTTATTTAAAATCAGAGTGGGTGAGTGTCTTAAAAAAAAATGTTTCCAAAATTGATTTAATATATTCCAAAAAAGAAAAACATGATGGAATGCAGGAAGAAATTTAATAGGATGTAGGAAGAAACTTGCAAAAATTACTGGGATGTAAAAGGTTAAGCCCCAGTGGAAAATCTAACAGGTCCATAAACTTAAATGTCCTATTTTTCAATCACATTGTATTGGTAACATGAGATTTGGTAATATTATAAAATTAGAAGGATCGAACAACATTTTCTTTTAAATTTTTGTTCCTTTTATTTTATCATTTTTTATTTTTTTTAAACTGAATTTCTACAGTTTAAAATAAATTATTATAAATCTATATAGGTTAAAAATTATATTTTTTCTTTAATATATATATATATATATATATA